ATCTATGTTATCATGTTGTTTCTTCATCAAAAACAGACCTGGAGTTGTGTTTTGTTTCATTCACACATTCAACACACAACCCTGCATATTTAGGGGTCTTCTCTTAAATAAAAAAACACTCTGTTCCATTTTGTGATCTCATGTGGTAATACAGGAAGTGCTCCACTATGTTTCTAAACTCTACACATCTTCTCTAGAATCATTTGGATCATTTCAACCCTTAAATTCCCAAACTCTGGTGAACTACGGCTTCATGACATCACAAGGTGGAACATTTTAAGCTTTGGGGATCTAGCCAAGACTTACTCGAACATATGCGAACAAAAAAAAGCACAACAGTGTCAATTTTACATGATATAGCATCTTTAAAAGTCCTATGTTAAGCAAAATATACTCTTGTGAGCTTTTAGCCATGTTAGAATGTTGCTACCTCCTCAAAAACATACCTGGAGTAGTGTTTTGTGGAGCACTTCGTGTATTACCACATGACATCACAAGTTGTAACAGAGAGTTTTCCGTTTCAGAAAAGAATTCAGCTTAAATATGCAGGATTTGTGTGTTAAACAAGCGTGAATGAAACAAAACACAACTCCAGGTCTGTTTGTGACGAGGAAAAATTATAACAGATCAGAAAATAGCGTAGTATGAGCCCTTTCATTCTGTTATACTTTACTTTACTGGAGTATTCCGATACAGCCAGTCACATGCCTTCTGAATGACATTTGTATTTTGTTCTCCAGCTCGGCACAGTACACGGCCTGTAAGTACTCGTGCTTGTACTCCTGTCTGCTACTTCACTTTGTACACCAACTGCGCATAAGTACCTCTCCAATGTGTAAGAGATCTAACTGCTGTCACTATAAATAAGGCATGAGGAGGGCTGCCATATTAATAAACTACCTGGGGCTGTCATTGTCCCATTTCTCAGTGAATGGGGTGGATAGCAGCAGTAATTATTTGGCAAGCAGCCTGATTTCTTGTTGCATCTTTATTAGTTAAGCCAAAAATTAGAACACTGCTGTCTAGTGTATTGTTTCTATTATATTTTTGAACCCAATTTCCAAACACTTGACATTGTTGGCACATTCGGAAAAATCGTATTAGTTTTTAATAAAACATGCTTTTCTTTTGGGCTCCTCTGTGTGTTGACTTTGCCTTCTACTTGTAAATTAGTAATTTCTCTAATACATGAAATTGCTATTTTCTAGTTTAGTACAGTAAATTTCAAGTGTCAAATTAACACTTAAAGAGTAAAATTTTACTCTATTTCCGAGTGTATATGGTCCTTATCTGTACAGAGTAAAATTTACTCTAGCTTCAGAGTAAAAATTTTCAGTGTCAAATTTACACTTAAAGAGTAAGCTGATGACACTCTGTAGTGTTTTCAGAATTTTTACTCTAGTCGATTATTTACTCTACACAGAGTGAATAGTACTAAAAGTAGTGTTCATTGTTTACTCTGTTGCAGTGCTAATAATGACACTTATTAGAGTGATTTTAATAACAGCTATAACACTCCATAGAGTAAAAATTACTCTTTGTAAGGGTCATATTTAATCATCATATTTACTCTTGCAAGAGTTAATTTCACAATTTTATAGTGCAAATTACACTCTGCTACTAAAGAAATAAAACCACAAATTGCAAATATAAATGCCAATTTATTTATGTTAAAACATCATTTCAATAAAACATTGACTTAAGATACAAAATGACAGTAAGGTACAACATACTTGGATGAATCCAAAGTTCCATACTTCATTTGAACATCAAATGGCTTGTAGTAACACAGTTCGCTCACTGTAAACACTTTTGAAACTTTGTCTGGATGCCGTTGGATCTTAAAAGCATAGAAATGTTGGTCAAAAACAGACAGTGTCCATAAGATCACCACAGAAGACAACAGTCTCATTGATCACAGAAATGGCTTTGATCATATAAAACACAGGTATTCCAGAAAGTACCTTTGTACAGACAATGCAGTTTGGACGATATTCTGTCCCATGACATTTAACCCACTTAACGGAAAATACATTTGTTGATAAGTCACATTTCAACTTGGAAGCAATATCTGGACCTTCTCTGATCTGACAAAGTGGGATGATCTTTCCTGGACCTAAAGTTAGCTGTTCCTTGGTAAATGACTCCTGGCCCAACGCCATACAATTCTGGTGCTTCTTGGCTAAAGTCAGTGTGATGTTTTTGAAGCTTTTCAACTGTTTTTTAAAGAAGTTATGTTTGGCTTCATAGCGCATGCACCAAAAGTAGAGGACTGGGCCAACTTTTCTTATGCTACGGGGATAGTGGAGCATAAAATGATGCTTCGGAAGGAGATTCATTGTTGGAAATAAGCGCTTAAAAAGTCTATGATGATCAGCGATTAAATGTTTTAGGTATACCGTCATACCTTTAGAAAGAACAGGAGAAAATATAATGTTGACAATTTGGAGAAGCAAAAGCAGAAGTTCCCAATGCTCATCTCCTGTCTCTATTAAATCCCCGAACAACAAAGGCAAGTTGCGCAGTAAGCACCAAGATTGTATAGCGTTAAGTCCCAAATCATTGCTTCCATCACACAATTTGATTCCTGGTGGTCGATTTCGCCGTTGAATGTAGCCATAATCAAAAGCATGTATTCTACCTGAAAGCTGCTCTGCACTAATATAGTTTTCTTGAATGTACTGGAGAATAAGCTTCATTTCAAACTGCCCAACACCCTCTAGAATGTCATGCATGATATCAACAGCAAAATTGTTGGCTGTGTTAAAATACTGCAGTGAATTCAACAAACAACTGCGTTTCACACCAAATACATGAGACAGTGTAGAGTCTGAGTCAGCAGTTTGACAATGCTGTGCATGTAACTCAACAGTTCTTAATATTACTTCAGGATTGTCTTCACAGAATACAGTTTGGAATTTTTCTTTTTCAAGAAGACAGAAGCGACAGCAATAGCGAGCCCCAAATGACTCCACAAAGCCAAAAATACTATGCAAGCCAAGATTGTCTCCTGTTACTTGAACTATTGTTCCATAAACAACATGATCAGACCTGGGAACTTTAAGACCCTCATTCTCNTACACAGTAAATTTCCAAGTGTCAAATTAACACTTAAAGAGTAAAATTTTACTCTATTTCCGAGTGTATATGGTCCTTATCTGTACAGAGTAAAATTTACTCTAGCTTCAGAGTAAAAATTTTCAGTGTCAAATTTACACTTAAAGAGTAAGCTGATGACACTCTGTAGTGTTTTCAGAATTTTACTCTAGTCGATTATTTACTCTACACAGAGTGAATAGTACTAAAAGTAGTGTTCATTGTTTACTCTGTTGCAGTGCTAATAATGACACTTATTAGAGTGATTTTAATAACAGCTATAACACTCCATAGAGTAAAAATTACTCTTTGTAAGGGTCATATTTAATCATCATATTTACTCTTGCAAGAGTTAATTTCACAATTTTATAGTGCAAATTACACTCTGCTACTAAAGAAATAAAACCACAAATTGCAAATATAAATGCCAATTTATTTATGTTAAAACATCATTTCAATAAAACATTGACTTAAGATACAAAATGACAGTAAGGTACAACATACTTGGATGAATCCAAAGTTCCATACTTCATTTGAACATCAAATGGCTTGTAGTAACACAGTTCGCTCACTGTAAACACTTTTGAAACTTTGTCTGGATGCCGTTGGATCTTAAAAGCATAGAAATGTTGGTCAAAACAGACAGTGTCCATAAGATCACCACAGAAGACAACAGTCTCATTGATCACAGAAATGGCTTTGATCATATAAAACACAGGTATTCCAGAAAGTACCTTTGTACAGACAATGCAGTTTGGACGATATTCTGTCCCATGACATTTAACCCACTTAACGGAAAATACATTTGTTGATAAGTCACATTTCAACTTGGAAGCAATATCTGGACCTTCTCTGATCTGACAAAGTGGGATGATCTTTCCTGGACCTAAAGTTAGCTGTTCCTTGGTAAATGACTCCTGGCCCAACGCCATACAATTCTGGTGCTTCTTGGCTAAAGTCAGTGTGATGTTTTTGAAGCTTTTCAACTGTTTTTTAAAGAAGTTATGTTTGGCTTCATAGCGCATGCACCAAAAGTAGAGGACTGGGCCAACTTTTCTTATGCTACGGGGATAGTGGAGCATAAAATGATGCTTCGGAAGGAGATTCATTGTTGGAAATAAGCGCTTAAAAAGTCTATGATGATCAGCGATTAAATGTTTTAGGTATACCGTCATACCTTTAGAAAGAACAGGAGAAAATATAATGTTGACAATTTGGAGAAGCAAAAGCAGAAGTTCCCAATGCTCATCTCCTGTCTCTATTAAATCCCCGAACAACAAAGGCAAGTTGCGCAGTAAGCACCAAGATTGTATAGCGTTAAGTCCCAAATCATTGCTTCCATCACACAATTTGATTCCTGGTGGTCGATTTCGCCGTTGAATGTAGCCATAATCAAAAGCATGTATTCTACCTGAAAGCTGCTCTGCACTAATATAGTTTTCTTGAATGTACTGGAGAATAAGCTTCATTTCAAACTGCCCAACACCCTCTAGAATGTCATGCATGATATCAACAGCAAAATTGTTGGCTGTGTTAAAATACTGCAGTGAATTCAACAAACAACTGCGTTTCACACCAAATACATGAGACAGTGTAGAGTCTGAGTCAGCAGTTTGACAATGCTGTGCATGTAACTCAACAGTTCTTAATATTACTTCAGGATTGTCTTCACAGAATACAGTTTGGAATTTTTCTTTTTCAAGAAGACAGAAGCGACAGCAATAGCGAGCCCCAAATGACTCCACAAAGCCAAAAATACTATGCAAGCCAAGATTGTCTCCTGTTACTTGAACTATTGTTCCATAAACAACATGATCAGACCTGGGAACTTTAAGACCCTCATTCTCAAGAATTTTAAGATCACCGACAAGAGGCTCAAGTATAGCGTTAAAACCATACCGCTTGACATCTTGGGCATGAAAAAGAGCACACAAGTAAATATTTGATAGTGAAGAATTATAAACCGGTGGGAAATTCCTCAATGTAAAATAAATGGCACCCAATTTGTGAATCCCCTTTTTGGAGCCTAGAGGATTTGCAGTTTCAAAATCATCATAAAACAACTGAATCTGCAAAGCATCTATCTTCTGAGAGAAGAGAAGATTTTCTTTCAGATAGGTGGCATCCATTATGTCCGAATATGTGCCTTCATTTTCATTATGTGGACTGTTTAAAATTACGGCCAGATTAGGGTTTAGATAAACAGTTTTTAGGGTTTCCAAAATTGGGATGTATGCAAATTTATCAGTAACAACAACTTGCTCATAGGTACCAGTAGATTTGTTTCTTCTACTATCAAATCGTGTGCCAAGAACCTTTTCAACTGGGTCAACAATTTTCCATTTCTCAGCAAAATGTTTTACTCGTTTACTTTCTGAATTTATGGGTGTAAATGGATTCTCAAGCATATGAAAGGACTGCTCAATTTTGTTCATAATTTCTGTATCCTGTGAAGACAAACACTGTAAAGCTGCATTTTTAGCCTGAATGTGGATCTCAGTAAAAGCTTCCTCCATGCAAGAAACAAAACCATTCAGGGTTGACTGACTTAAACCAGCTGCCTTAAGCTGTGCAACTGCAGAGGCGCATATATCTAGAGTGCTCTTGTTAGAAGGTTGAAGCTCATCTGAAGTTCTCTCTTCCATGTAACCCATGTGTGTCTCACTTTGACAACTGCCACCAACATCTGGGACAACATCAGCCAATTCAGTAGCTGTTGCACTATGGTCACTGTGCTTGGCATTTAAGTGCTTTCTAAACCCAGAGAAGGAACCAAACACACGACCACATCCAGTCTCAACACATCTAAGACGGAGGGTTTTTCCTGGAAGAAACCCATGGAACAGTTTGATATGCCTAACAAGCAAATTTGAACTCTGGAACTCAGCTCGGCAAACACTGCACTTCATAGAAACACTAATGAAGTAACCTTGCTCTTATTTCTGCAATACGGGGTCTCTCCCTCACCTTGCCAACATCAATATTGTAAATTGTGGTCTGAATGAATGTGTACATGTTGTACAACATGGTGTGGTATGATGTGCCAAACACAAAATGTGCCTTAAACAACTCATCAAAAGAACTTAAAGAGGAGTTAGACATACAGGGGATGGCAGTCTTGTCCAGGATAATGAAGTACTGGCTGATCCTGTTCCTTTGGGTGCCAACAGCAAGGAGATAAGGCTGAGTGCTAGAAGTGATGGTGTCGAGATGTTCTTCGATACTTGTGCCACTCTGAAAAACATGTAAAAGATGTTTAGTTTTAAAAATAACAGCATAAACTTGTTCTTATGACAGACAAAAAAATTTAGGCAACTTTGCACTGGTTAACATGGTCAGAAACTTTTTTTTTCCAGTGATGAGCAAGAAACTATGCACACCTTCTTGAAGACCACAAGATGTTTTTCTGCTTGAGATGCTGACATCTTCCCCGGTTTCTTACGGCCTTGAGCAGTGGGTGGAACAAGATGCAGAAGCAACAAAATAGAAGCAAAGTCACTATCCCAGCCTTTGAAAAGAAAAAAAGAAAAACACAACACACATTGTTTTACTTAAAAAACTGATGTTATGTTTTGAACTGAATTTTAATTCTTAGAGGTCATTTGCATGTTAAAGAATTTGAAAGGTTAGTTAATAACTTACCAAAGTCAGCACCATCAGCATCATCCTCCTGAGGATCTGCAGCCAATAGGAGGTCATTTAGCTCTGTGGTGGAGGGAAGCTTTCTGCACTGCTTGATTATCTTCTCCTTGAACATTGTTGGCCATTTCTCCAGAAACTTGCCAGATACATCCTCACCAAACATCAGAACAAAATCTTGTTCAATCTGTATTAAGAGAGAATGGATTGATGAATTTGCAGCTGATTGTGCCTTTTGATTTACTATGAACCTTAAATTCATCAGATCAGATTTATTTTATCAGTAAAAAAGGGATAAATATATGTATTTAGGTTTTAAATCATTGCAATATGAGTAGACCTATTCTACAAAATTATTAACTAATCAAATATGCACGTAATATCTGATGTCTAGACATAGCCTCAATTCCAATACTCATAATTGATAATTACCAATCCTTTGACGTCTTTGAATCGAGGGAAGTGTGACAGTATGTTGCTTGACAACTGGGGGTCCAGGACCATGCTTCGACGATGAGCAAACGTTTGCTTCATTTTTCTTCTTCACTGTGTTTTCATCAGAGGAGTGTTTCATCAGGGACATGGCTTCTCGACATTCTTCTTCACTCATTGGTGGCTCTGGAAGATACTGGGACTCCCGCCTGGCTGTTGGTCCTCCCAACAGTTCGTCACCGCTCATTCCTTCAGTGGAGGAGGCTAGAATGCACAAATAATCAAAATAACTGCAGGACAAAACAGCCCTCAAAATGTACAATATTTTGTCTTGATGTATTTTAAAAACTTACCTTCAATTGATTTTCTTTCTTGGGCATTGCATCTTTGAATGTATTTAAGCCTCCAAGCCAAGTAGCCACTGTCACTTTTACCATCATAATAATGCTCCTGGATGTAACATTAATAATAATAATAATAATAATAATTAAAAAAAAAGATTTTTAGTGAATACAAGATAGATTAGAAATTACTAATTCACTGAAATATACTACTCACGTGTCCATTTTCTGAGAAGGGGTCCCAGAGATGGGGGAACAAGCTCACAATTCCTCTGGCATATTTTTTCTTTCACTCGTCTGGGTGGAGATGTACTGCAAAATTAGAACGATAAATTACCATTTCTGTACATTAAAAGCTGCAGATAAATAAAAACATACCCATTTTTCTCTGTCATATCAGCAGCAAGAATGTTCACCATTTTTTTTCGGGTGTCATCTGCCAAAGACTTAGTTCGATTGTACTCCATTATTACCCTTTCTCCCCCAGGCTTTTTGGAAAGAATGTCTTTCACCAACTATATAAAAAGAAAAATGAAATAGGTATTAAAACCAAGCAATTCAAAATATACAGTATTCAAGCTGTACACCTTCACTTAAGTCATACATGCTTAGCCTCGTCATCCAGCCGCTGACGCTTCGAAGCAGGACTAACAGGAAGTATGATTGTGTCCTGGGAGTCACCACTGCTGGGTGAAGAAGCACAAGGCCCAGGAGAAGAGAAACTCTCAACATTCCCTTTGTAAAAAGAAAAGTAAAACAAACATTAAAAACATACTGTGTTCTGAGACCATCAGTGAGTTAAGAAAAACAATTAAAGTAAAGAGTGGCCAAGTCATGTTTAACAAACAATACAAACCAGTATCATATGTGATGGTCAGAAACACCAGTTTGAGGATCCTTTACCACATCCTCAAAAACATCCTCATCAAGCTCAGTTCCAGAACTGTCAAGGACACGTACACCTTCTGTCACAGCTGGAACACCAAACTTGGTAAATGCTAATAAGAAATAAACAGTATGAACAATTTGTAAATAAAATGTGACTCCGCCATACACAAAGGACATTTCAATCACTTACAAGCCATGTTTCATTTGCAAAATTATTCTCAGAGTTCATTATATTTACTGCTATCAAACATTGAATTAAAACTAAATAATGCTGTTCTTTTCAGTGTAATTTGTTGCTGTAATACCAGCACCACATCTGACAGTTAAGATTAGTACTGTTCTGATATTTAAACAGTTTATATTAGTTACCAGTTACAAGTTGAAAATGTGGTCATTATACTATATTACTTACCTGCATCCAGAAATGCTGTCAGATTCGGCTCAGGAACTCGAACAAATTTTTGGACGTTGGCTATTTTAACTTTCAGCAGCATTTTTCCTGAAAAAAGACAGAACATGTTTATAATGCCAAGACACTCTTCACTGTATTATGAAATCCATACAGTTCAACCGTTATTTTGTGCACACTTACACCAATGCTGCCGTGCTCGGGCACGAATGTGGGAGATTTTGTTGCCTGCACGTTCACCTGCACAAATAAAAACACGGCACCGGTACAGTGACGTCACCACACAGAGCTGTTTACATGACGAGCTGATGTCTTAACGCTCCAGCGGCGAAAATACGTACAAGAGGACACAAATAGTGGCGCCGATACGAGTCCTGTTGTGATACGCTCCTCCGTGACTCAATGGCAACACGGAGCCGCGCGCTCGCAACAGGGCTTCACATCCTCAGTCCTATTTATGGTGTGCGCGGATCCGTCGGTCGTTTTGGAAAGGAGTTAAAACACTTTCTCCAGTCGGGTTCACCTCCACGCATAGCCCTGACCGGGCTCGTACACTAAAGTCGTGCGTGTGCACGGAAACAAGGTAACGTGCCGTACTTTAGTTCACTTCCCCAAACAGAGCCAAAATGGAAATGTTCCGCGCCTGGATATGGATCGTTTGCATTCACATTAGACACATTTATGGTGCTTGGCTTTCCGTGCTCAGGCACAATTCGACTGGGTTTATTATGAGCACATCCTTAAGAAAACTCCGGTTTACATAGTCCTTTGTCACCGACTATTTCATGGTCCGCCTCAGCTACGCTCCCTATCATAGTCCAGATTCAATCAAATAGTACACATGAACTACTTAATGCTAAAACAACGCAAAAAACCCTTCAGATTATAGTTCTTAGTCGCGCACATTACTTGCTAAGTGTAGCAAAGACATTTGCAGACTGTGACCATGATATAGACGGAGACGGGGCGTTCCTGGTCACTGTCCGTATTGAAATGAATTGAACGGAGAATAAAATCTTACGTTTGGTAGCAATACTTGAAAGTTACCCCTTCGATGTAGATTCTTAGAATATAATTATCCATTTAGAACCATTTTCAAACTGCATATCTGGCAATTCGTTTCAAATTGAGTGTCCGTTTTTTCTCCCCCGAAACTAGCTAGCCAGCCCGCCCGTTCGCACCTCGCGCGGGCTCGATATATAACCGCTTAGTATGTCATAAAACATCACAAGGTAGACAAATAAATATGCTATACCCAGCCATTCTAGCACATTTATACTTGAAATGTAGCTGCTGAAATTGCCAAACTACTACTTACTTGAGACTTGTAGCGGCCACTGGTCGAAGTGAAGCGAGGAGGGAAAAATGGCGGACTCGAAAAAGTTTGAGAGGAGTTTGAGGGGGCGGAGCTTCTCAGTGCAATTATGACACTGAAGGACTTACACTGTGTTTTTACAAGGACGCTAGAGGGAGTATCACTCAATTTTTTTGTAATATATACTCTTAAAGAGTAAAAAAACTTTTACTATGGATTTTTTACACTGGAAATTTACGTGTAGTGGTGGTGCTCATAAACCTAGTTGTTGGTTTGATTCTAGTATTTGTAAAGGTATGTTGTTGTGTCTTAAGGCAAGGCACTTGACTGAACCTTGTCTATGTATTGCAATGGGAGTATGATGTATGAGTATAAATATTTCAAATGAATATTTCAAACTCGAAATCAAGAATCGGAATACACTAGATGGTTTGCAAGAACCCCGGAAGTTGTAGACCGTGCACCGGCCAATCAGCAAAGAGTTGTGAAGCCATGACTGGGTCCCTTTTGTGGTACAGCACAACAGTAAACAAAGCGGTCGAGATGGATGTAGACGAAGCCATACATTCTGTGTTGGCAACAATTCCCGAGATTGAGGATTTAAAGCGGGAACAAAGAGAATGTTTGGTGAATTGTATCAAGGGGTAAGACATTATTTCCCTTCTTCCTATGGGATTAAGCGCATTACAGATGTCACAACCAAACAGCAGCGATTGGTTAAATAAAAAAGTACCCACCTACTTTCTAATGCTGCCAGGTCAGACGGTTTCCACGAAGCAAAAACCGTCCGATGGATCAGGCTAGATTCCAATACCACGATGACAATAGAATGATTTTCATTAAATAACAGTACTTTATTTTATATTGCCATGTAGTATTATACAGTATCTGTGTAATCCAGGTAGGTTCCATAGTGGTCCATGGGTGTATACTCGTCTGTGTGCTCTTGTACTTGTTCTAATACAGTTCAAGATCATTTTAAAATTCAGGAAAGGTTCATTTCTGTCCTGTGAATGTGACTTTTTTAGTATCGATACCTGCTCTGATCAATAACATATTTATTGATAGTAGTTTTAGTATCAATTAGTATCTGGTTCTTGGCCAAATGAGTATCTAGTTTTAATATTAGTATGGATTAGTATCAAATTTTTGACACTTTTGAAAACCGTATAAAAGTAAATGAACAATGCACCAAAATCTGAATATGTTCAAAGTGGTTTTACATGTGAGACTAGCTTATATTATTAACTGCTTGAAATCACAATTAGTTGAAATGCTTATATATGAAGGCTAATATCATTCATAAGTAATGTTTTGTGACACTTTTGCTTAATGTGTGGATTAGAAAATGGTTTTTGCCCCGGGTTTTGTGGGGCAGAATAATCACACATCATTCACAGCAGAAGTTAATTTATTGTATTTTTGATTACAACATTTCGTAATTGAATAGAGTAATAATTGAAATCACAAACTGAAATTTGATTAACAGCCTTAGCGAATAGTGTAATATATTTCAGTCATTTAGGCGTGTTTTTCACTCACGCACAATGAGTCATCTCTCAAAAAGCAAAATGGCAGGGCTGTTATATGAATTCTCAATTTCACTCTATTCTTTTCAAGTACCAAAATTATCTTAGTCTGTTGGATCACATCACTACGAAAACAAGTCTGGACAAAATGTATTTTCACTTCATCTTGAAAGTCCTATGTTACACAAAATATGACAAAATGTTTTCTCATCAAAAACATACTTGGAATTGTGTTTTGTTTCAGTCACACAAATTTTAGTAATCATTTGTTAACAGTTACCTTTTACCTTTTGTTCAGCAGAAATTAGTAATTCCAGGGCTGAAATTATCCAAATGATTCTAGTGAATTTTTGCCTGATTGATTAACCGGTTTCACTTCGTGGAAACCGTCTGATCTCGCAGCATTAGGATTTGTTCACTCGACGATAGGCGGGTACTTTTTTTATTTAACCAATCGCTGCTATTTGGTCGTGACGTATGTAATGCGCCACTAACTGGGCTATTAGGTTTTTCCCAAATCCCGTAGGAAGAAGGGCAGTAATGTCTTTCCCCTTTATAAAATTCATCAAACATTCTCTTTGTTCTGGCTT